TTTCCCTTCCTGGGGTCGGCGGCACTGGGCGGCAGCCCTTAAATATGCCCTCATTGACCCTTAATACATTGATCTTTAAACACCACCCATCCATGTGACGGCACAGAATTGCGAGAAGCCAAATGGTTTGTCTGGATGTTGTCTGGAATAGATGTTTGCATGCTCATCCCGGGCCTCCTTGAATGGGAGTATCCCTCCCAAACACTCCATTTAATACTCCATATATAGGGAGTATACATTGACCCCTCTTCAACCACCCCACTCTAAGGTGAATATTCAACTTCTGAATATGTTCAGTCCCATCAGCCGTGTGTGGGCATGGTCATCCATCCAGGCTACAACCCTTCTCAGACAGAACCAGGGGTTGGCGCCACTCATAGGCCATCAACAGCTCAAGCCTGGCAGTCTGCAAGCTGCAGTGGGTCACTAAAGGATCGCTACAGGCACTGCAGGGGGCATTCTTCTGAGTGGGTCAGCCTCTAGCAACTCGCTGAATAGTGTGAATCGTGAGTTTGTTTGCAACCATGACTGGATGGACGATGTCGTGGTTTGTCTCAAGCAGGTCGTACCTGACTCCCTTAAAGCGTTTCCCCTGGGAAAAGAAGGTATATTAGTGGGGTGCCTCCACTCCCCCCAAAAAGGGTTTTTCAGGTTATCCACGCATCCGACGGGTATGCTCCTTCGGTGAGTTCACGTGGTCCTCCTTCGGCATGCCCCTCTGGGTATGACGGGGTATGATGGGTATAGTGCCAGCGAACTATCCACCCGTTCGGTTCTGGTGCGAGGAAAATTAAACCACAAACCAGGAGTCACAAAAGGGTGGTGTTTAGTCCCTAAGTGAGTGGATAACGGGCACCCGTATCCTCCCTTAAGCACCCCTTTGTGACTGCTGGAATATGTGTCTTTCGAGTCATTGCGACCGTCTATTCCCAGTCCTCCCAGACCCGCATGAATCGTAGGGATCCGTTTTCGTACCTTACCTCACGTACGGTGAGGAAGGAGACACTGGAGATTGTGGGTGCCAGGAGAGTCCAGTCGTACCAAACCTGAGGTTCCAAAAACGGATCCCTATAGGGGTAGAGGTCGTCACCGTCCGGCCGCGTGCGTTCCGAGAAGCGGCCGGTGCTCAGCCCAGTGGAGTAAGACGTTCGCCACATGTTTCTCAGGAGACAACTTCACCTGACGAAGCTCCAGCTGCTCCAGCTGCCGAGCCGAACGGGTGAACCCCGGAACTCGCGTGGCGAGTGGGGTTCTGTGGCGGGTACTGGTGTCTCTCCCCCAAATCGATCTCCTCCCAAAGGTCCCTAGGGATCCAAGTACCTTCTCAGAAGGTGTTTGGGGTGGGTTTGGAGGGTCCAAGTGCCTTCTGAGAAGGTACCACTGGATCCCTAGGGAGTTATGTGACTTCGCAGGTGATCTACACCCCCCTGGAACTAACATCGAAGTTTTTCGATTGGCCCCAACACCTCACCTGTGGGCGTGTGCCGTCTCGAACGTCATGTTTCGAACGAGTATCGACTCCCATCAGATTCAACACGGCGAAGCAATTCAGAGCTATCCATGTACCTGGAGTCTCCAAAGTACGTTAGAAAATGGGACATGACCCTTAAAAAACAGGTACGACTGGGGCCCCATTGAGCCCGAGGTACGAACGGCGTCGACTCCAGCTACTCATGGACGTGGCCTGGATGATATGTTGGGTCATCCTTCTGGGCCATGCCCTCCATCCACGTTCCGCCTATGATTCTTTCGGGTTTGTGTTCATGTTGGATCAAGAAATGCGCGTGCGAGCACAAGCACACTGGTGCCCCTCAGCTCAATGAATTCTATCCTTTACATATCCTTACCCGTTTGGCCTCCAGTCGTACCGAACCTGAGAAGGTGGGACTGTGGCGCCAGGAGGGTCTAAACACCGAACCTGAGGAGGTACGACTGGAGGAGGTGTAGGGTTATAACTATCCATGGGACCGAGAATGTTTGCCCACCTTGGGGTGATGTTTAAGCTGTTTAAACGGTCTATGTAAGTGTCAATTTGTCCAGTCTTATGGCCTCTGGGTGACATCGCCCTCAGGATTCACACCGCCCTACGCCGGAATCCAGCTACTTCACGGCATGAATGGCATGAGCAGCATGGGCCTTCCAAAACCCCATCTCTCAGCAATCATCCTGGACCTTCCAGGGGTGTGCTGTCTGGAGGCCCTATAGGTCGTGGGCTGTGGCGAAACCAGCCAGGTGACCCCGACATGAAGGCGCTGGATTGTCCATGCAAATGACCGCATTGACGCATGTCATGATGCTGGGATGGGTGCCGGCCATGTCCTACCTATGCCATCGGTGCATCCGGTGCCCCTCATGGTGTTAAACACCAGTTTTGAGTGTCGGTTCCTCTCAATCAAACCTCGTCATGTTATCAAGCGTAACCAGGCTGTGCTTGATAGTAACTATATCAATCGATTTCATACCAGATACTGTAGTTTTTTTTCATTGAGCCGCTTAAGTGCTACAACTATCAAATATATAATAGTGATACAAGTATCAAATAATATAGTTTTATTTCTCACAGAGCCACTTAAAGAAGTTCATAACTCTTCATACTGAACAGTTCCATTGAAGGAGGAGTGCCTTTGAAGGAGGCTGATCGGGCCCTGATCGGTTCCCAGCAGTGGTTGTGTTTGAGAAAGACATGACCCACCAGCAGAATGGATGGGGGGGTTGGGTTAAAGACCTTTTCCCTACGCCTCCTGGCCCACCTCCTGAGGAGAAGATGGTTGGGGTGGATGCCAGGGCGGGTCGAATACCACCGGTCACCTGAGGATATGGTAGGAGCCCTAGGGTTTACAGGGCACAGAGTAGATGGCACAAACCCCAACCGTCGGTTTTTCATGGCAAGGAGATTATTGGGAGTCTTTGCCATCGAACCTCTGAAACAACTGGTTCCTTCAAGGGTCCATCGTCAGTCATGTACCTCGGCACCCCACCTTGTGGGTTTCCTGAACAGGTGTTCTGGTAGGTAAGGACGTAAGACTATCAAATGAAGGCTCTAAAGAACGGAGACCTCAAAGGGACTCTCCCTCACTGAGGCAAAATAGTCTTTGGACTTCTGGAGTCTTAGACTGATCAATGTGCCCGAGCCTCTTCAGAGGCTTTTCCATTCCCTACACCTCCAGTCGTACCTCCTCAGGTTCGGTGTTACCTTCCTGGCACCCGGGCCCCCAGTCCCACCGAACCTCAACGAAGGTACGACTGGCGGCCTAGGGATTGGAAGGACTCGTATACTCATCTAAGAGGTCTAATAGAGTCCGCAGGACCTTTCCCATGGATTCTGAGCGCACCACGCATCACTCCGAGCGGCGCCCGGCGAACGCCAGCCAGAGCAGCTGAGACAGCTGGGGTGCAGCGTCACGAAGCTCCGATTGGCTAATGCCAAGAGGGGCTCCTGGAACATCGGGAAAAGCCGCTGTTATTGTTTTTACCCTCAGAATCCGGGCCCTCAAACACATAGGGTTTTGAGGGCCCGGATGTGATATGGAGGGTCCGGCCCCTGCCATGGAGAGCCCGAGAATTCTTAGGGTAAGCCGTTTCTTTTTCCGGATCAGCGGACGCTTTTGAACGCCAGCTATAGATGGCTCTCCGCGGCGGGGGACAGTGATGAAACAGCCCCAGGCCATATGTTCGACCCTAGCCTTCCGATCCAAAAAATGGTTGAACTATATATATCCCTACAGTACGGTTGTATATAGATCCCTATACAGTACAAGTCAATGATCTCATTTTACTGAAGTTGGTCATACAAAAACACTCCTCGATGAGGTTTAAAGGACCAGGATTTTACTGGGTCTTTGGACTTGTAGGGTATAGCTTTGTAATGCAACATATATACCATGTAAATCAATGGTGCTTGGAATCCCTGGGCACACTGAATTGATCTTCACTGCCCCGCCTCGCTTTTCTCTCGAACTTGGTCCAATGCAACTCATTTCTTCCATCCGCCCTTCGAACCACTAACCACCCTAAGAATCAAGGACCCTCAGTTCGGTGAAGGTTTGGTTCGGGTCCAAACCCCTGCGGAACCTGCAGGTGCAAAACCCTCCAGTTCGGTAGTCGGGTCCAATGATCCTTAGGGCACAACCTGTTCTTCACAAATCTTCAACCCCCTTCCTCTTCCTCCACGCTGCCCCGGCGCGCGACGCCGGCACCCGACACCGCCCCCGAGAGGGCTCCAGCAGGAAGGCGCGGGCGACGTCCCCGGTCATGGCCAGCAACCGATCGAGTCCCTCCAAATAGCCCACGTGAGGCGCCAAGCGCAGGCCGCCATCTGGAAAGATCATCAGGCCCGAAGGAAGTGCGGAAAGTGCCAGGCGTTGCAGGGGAGGCACTGGACGGAAATGGAGCCTGAAAAAAGCGGTTGGGATATCGGACTCTGAGAAGAAACCACCCATGGTTGAGTTGGTTTCGATCCCCTTAGACCAATCAAGTGGTTTTGGGATGTCCATTTGGTCTGCGGGGGAGTAGAAGGTGGGAGGTAGGTGGGAGGTGATGAGAATCGCCTGCATAGCTCTTGGGTCTACCAAACGGAACGGGAACTCATGAATTGCTGTGCTGTATCCCTGTCTGAAACTGGCATATTGGCAGATCAGGAGGGTGATTTCGTCAATCTAGGCGTATATCGTATTCCAGTCCCATGTCTGCGTGTGATGTGTGTATTGTAAATAGAAACCCTAGGATTCCAACAGCCATTGATCCGATTGTCTTTACTCTTTACTGTACCTAAGAACCATCGTTTAGTAGGGACTCTACACACAGACTTACCAACACTAACGCACAGTCCGCCGAGGAGTCCACATGGCGTATATTTGACAAGTGCATCGGAAGATTTCGCACGTATAGAGAAAGATCAAAGCCCATGACACCAATTTTGAGAATGAAGATCGTGTCATGGATTTTGCTAGTTTGTCCTCTTTGACGGGACCGACCATTGTTTATCATGTTTTTTTTTCCCTAGGGGCTTTCGATGGATGCCGGGTCATGTATGGACATGATGGTTCTCTATGTTTCTGTCGGTGCGTCTATCTTTGGTCTCCCTCTCTCTCTCTCTGTCTCTCTGTGTCTCTTTGTTTGATCTTGGCACCTGATCTTTCCAACTCCATCTCATCGTCTGCCGGTCTCTACAAGCCTCCTAATATACCCCTCCCTGCCTCCCCCCCCATTGGTCCGCGGCACAGGTCTGGTCTCAGCAACATCACCCAATCAAAGGGCTCCGTGTCAGGCGCTCGCGCGTCCTCCAGCCACTCCCAGCAGCGCGCGTAGTTCTTCATCTGCCGCACCCATTTCAGGCGTCCCGAGCCTGTCGCGGCCCAAGCAACGAGCAGAAGCGGTGTGGGCGAAACGGGCGTTGGGACGATGAGCGAGCTGCGCCTCTGGCTCGGCCGAGTCACGGAGTAGTTCCAACACGAATCCATAACGTGAAGGAGTAGGGTCAACAGGCAGCAAAGGCCCAATTCGGCAGCCATTCAACACATTGTTTATTTCTAGATCGATCTTTATAGCAATTTACTTGATAGGCAATTGCCTGGAGGAACATTGTTGTCAAAGCCGCTCTGGTTGCATTCTCGAGATAACATCAATGTGCTTCAGGCATGGACCAACCGTTGACCTAAAGCTGAAACCATTGGCCCCTAATGTCCTATAAGTCAGTTTTGGACTGGAATGTAAACCCCCTATAAGTCTTCAAACTCACTTAGGATGCGGACAGGAAGAAACTCGCAACACGCACTCCCTGTAGCAGGGGAAGGGGTCTGAAGCGTGGCACTGGCAGCGCCTTCACCATGCCACCAAGCCTCCTCAGGATAGGCCTTGCGACTGGAAAGGCATACCAAGTCATCCCAAAAATGGTGAACAACGTTTAAAAAAGGAGCGGGAATGTGCAAAGCCGTTAAAACAAAGGCTCAACACGAGCCTTGAAAACACAGGTAAAACCAGCGGGAGGTCTTCTTTTTTGCAGCAGCGCGCACTCGTTGTGGGGCCATTGTAGGGTGTTTCGACTGCTTTATTGAGGAATATATGTTAGGAACCCTTCGTCTTCCTTGTGCATGAAGAAGTTGAGACCTTGAGAATACCACCACATGCGTACCCCTTGGGTATATTCCATTCAGTGATAATGCATCCTTTAATGACAGTGACTTGGAAGGTTAGGGACACAGTGTATCTGACATCCTCGGTTTCCCGGAAGAAAAAGAAAAACAAACATAGACAAACATAACCAGTTGGATTTGAGTGGTGTGTCCCCAATGCCCCCAATGCGTTTTTTTCAGGTCATTCACTCGTCCAAAGGGTTTCTGTGTCCCAAACGACTTGCTAACGGCTCTGAAAAGCTACAAAAAGAACGGAGTCACATTTGGTCCCTACCCAAACGCGAAGTCTGGGCCCGAATCCTATGGAGGGGTCGGACCCGAATCCACGGGTCAGGGGTCTTGGGTCGAACCAATCCCTAAAGTTTTGAGGTATCAGTCGAGCGTCGTGAAAACGGAGCGTCTGGGTAAGTGAGTGGAGTAGCTGGCAATGGCATTTTGCTCCACCTCTGAACAGATCCAGTTGCAACATCGAGATACATTCAATTATATAAGCGTTTTTAGCGCTCTCGGGCATCCCCAAGCGCTAGCAAATCGATCGAACATGGACTCTTGATGAATCATTCCATTCCATTCCATTCCAAACCTCTTGGAGGACTGGCAGACATTTGTTTTTTGTTGATCTCCAAACCTTCGACACAATGCGATCAACACAGTGCCGCAAAAAAGAAAAAAGGCACGTCTAGACGGTGACCTGACCACCCGACTTCGTCGTACCGAACCGCTTCGCTTCGGTGCTTTGACCCGAACACCCGGGCCCCGGTCGTCCCACCGAACCGAAGCGGTTCGGTACGAAAACGGAGGCCGAACGGGATTGGAAGGACTCGTATATTCATCTAAGAGGTCTAATAGAGTCTACAGGAGCTTTCCCATGGATTCGACCCTCCAACTGTCCAACAAAGGGAAGTCCTACAAATCCAGGTCGAGGTTCCTCCACCAAGTCGATGAGCTCTTCCTCCGTGGCATCTTCCCACAGCTCCACCCACACGCGCGTCTGTTCGGCCGCATGGGCGGCCGCGTGGCAGCTGGTGGCCACCAGATCGTCGAAGGCTTGTCGAAGGTGTGGGGCGATGAAGGTGGTGAAGCCAATAGAGGGCTGGGTGGCGAGGATGAAGAAGAGAGAGACGCTGGAGTCTGGGGAGACCTGTGGAGGTCGGAAACAGTCGGAAGAGTCGAGTGGCTTAGCAACAAAAAGCCCACGATTTTGCGCGTGTTGGGCGTTTTTGGTTGCCGGGGTCGTGCGTCTTTGGGTCTGAGGGTTCAAATATGAATCGTTTGCAAAGGATTGGATTGGATCATCGAGATTTGGTGCGCTGATTAGATCGCTGGTATCCCAGGACCAGTCACCTTTCCCTAGGCTTCCAAGACCATTCAAAGAAAGGTTGACCTGGTTGCGTAGTGTAAAATCCTTAGTAAAACAGCCTGGTAGAAACAGCTGGTTGTTGGAAGGAGTCACCTTTAGTCTCAGCTCGGGTCACGAAGAGGCGAGGTCCGAGACCACTCTGCTTCAAACAAACAGCTCTAAGGTCACAAGATCACGAAGGTCCAAGAGGTGGGCCTTCGTAAAGGTTCGTGGCGGTGACGATGGAGTCCCTGACCCTTTCCAAGCCGAAGTGAGCTCAAATGCTAGGGATCCAGTCTTACCTTCTGAGGTTCGGTGGGACTGGGGTGGGTGCCAGGAGGGTCCAAGTGCTAGTTTTCCAGTTCCAGTGAGTCCGAATGTAAATATGTAATACATGCATGGAGTATGCATATCCCTGGCGATCCAGTCGTACCTTCTCAGGTACGGTGAGCAGGGAGACACTGTTATGTATGTTTGGAAGGTGCAGTCGTACCGAACCTGAGAAGATACGACTGCATCCCATGGCGAACATGTAGCAGTTGGTGTCCAGTTCATTCCAGTTGGCAGCAACTCTTGCTGGGGTGACAGGTGCTCTTTCGACCATTTTCCTCAACAAACAACTGGTTTTCCAGTTCATGTGTGCATGTGGCCCCAACACTCCATGTATTTATGCCTCAACAGCTGGCTGCCTCGAGGTAAAGGTGTGCCTGGAGGCCCAAGCCAAACAAAAGACTGAAAACGTGACCAGCAGTCTGGGTTGGAAGGACAATTGCGGGGGTGTCCCTAAACCACACCCTTTCCACTGCTGGTGCTGGTCCCCGGAATGCCTGGTCTTCACCAACTTCTCCAACACAATTCAGACCCTAGGGATCCAGTCTTACCTCAGAAGGCACCTGGACCCTCCTGGCACCCACCCAAGCACCTTCTGAGAAGGCACGACCCAAACACCTCATAGGGAGAGATGTTACCCCCATTCTTCCAAGCGTCCAAAGGGCAAAGGCTTTCCAAAAGATGACCTGAATCGACTGGCACAGAGACCGGTCGCCCGGTGCGGGTGTTAGACGCGGACCGCTGCCCCTTCCAGGGCCGGGAAGACCCGACCAAGTCGGACTCGACGGGGTGCGGACTCCATGGAGGTAGGAGTTGGGCGCCCAGCTACACATCCACTCATGTAAGGGGACGAGCAAATCACCCAACTCCTTGTGACTCCTGGTATATCCCCCTCCGGTATGACAGGTGACGTTGGTGTCCTATATTATGCCGGAACCAACCTCATTTTCGCTCATTTGGTCACAAACCATCTACAACTGAGTACTTTGCTAATCTTTGCTATGCCCCTCACTCAAAGCGGATCCCTCCCTGCTCCCACATGTTTTTGCCCCCACTCTTTTGGATCTTTTGGATCTCTGGTCCAGTGAGGGCCCAGGTGCGGAGAAGGTGGTGGTGCGTCCATAATTTGTGCGGTAAATTCTGGGGTTCAGTTCTGTCGTTCCACAGGACGACAAATTGGGCCTGAGGATTTGGACCGTTTGGCACTCAACGACCTGGACGGCCGACCCAGTGTGCCATACTTTGCGTTATTTTGGGTTCTTGTGGCAAAGCCCGGGTGTTGATCCAGGGTGCTCGGAGGTGTGTGTCAATGTGAGTCAGGCCAATTCGCTGGTATTTACGGTGCTTTGACTCAACTTCTTCAAAGATCTTCAAAGTGTATTTTGACGGCGCCAACTTGCAGAATCTGCCTTTGAGTGCGCTCTTGTGGCCCTGCACACGTGTTTGGACTTTTGCTGGCGCTCACCCAGTCACCCCCATCCCATCCCACTTACTTCCACATTGGGAGATTAGATACATATAGATACATGAATGCTAGTCGAAGTGAACGTCATTAGCCCCACCCCACCCCAGCCCCATCCCATCCCAACCCATACCACTTATTTCAACATTGGGATATGAGATTTGAAGCCGCTTGAATCCTAGTTGAAGTGAACGCCATGAGCCCCACCCCACCCCAACCTGACCCAACGCCGGGACATGCTGGGCCACCGCCGGGATGCCGGGACATGCCGGACATCCACCCCACCGCCGGGACATTCCGGGACAAGCTGGGACATCTGTCCCACCGCCGGGACATGCCGGGACAGTCGATTTTCCAGAGTGTTTGGTTTCGAATCCAACCAGAACAAGTCACCCTGAACTGTGGTTCCGGTGGTCTTCTCTCACATCGCCTTGGTCAGAAATCCGCTCAGTGGAATCGCTTGTAGATCGATCTGTTCTGGCCCACCTTCACCGAAAAGGGTGCCCCACTGGGAGAAAAGCGTGGAAATTTTGACTCAGGCGGAACGCATCTGGCATGTGATGTGGCATAATTTGGAACCGGAGGCGGAGCCGTCCGTGGCGCTACGAGACGTGGGTTGTCTTGGATTCTTTGTGTCCAGCGTCATGTTTTTCCGATATTTTTTTTGCGGGGCTATGGCTGAACACTGGAGCCGGAGACCGGAGCTAGCCTGACCAGATGTTTGACTTGCTCCCAATCCCAGCTTGCATAGCTTGTGTCGCTACTGATTTTCCATTGCGATTTGGTTTGGCAGCCAAATGCAGCCAAAACAGACAAGGCGACTGATTTTCATAGCAAATCAGCAGCAGCTGCCATTGCTTTCCCCCAGGGCCAGAAGAAAATCAATGTCCCCTTCATCCAACCACTTCACGTCCCGAAGCACCATTACCTGGGGAGAAGAGAACATTTTGTTGTTGATTCCCCCAAGACCGACCTTGAGCTGAGACTGAGCCGAGACAGGTTGGGTGGGCCAAGTCCACAGGCAGTGAGATGGTTGATCGTTGTTTTGCGTGTTTTTGCTATGATGTGTTTTATGGCACAATCATGCGCAATGGACGAATTATTAGATGTTATTCTCCCGTCCGAATTAGATGCAGAGGTGAACTTGTAGAGACTCTCAGGTTACATATTGGCCACTTCGGAAGTGGGTCCAGCTCGAAGAAAGTAGAGGATCAGACCTCGATAGAGGCCATTTGTTCCGGCTGATGAAATTCACATGCGCACATGAGACGACGTCGAGACCACCCATTGGGTTGGAGCAGGTTGGAGCTTTGGAACACCATGAAGACCTCAGGTGAGAGCGCTTGAGTCTCCATGTTGGATGCGGACGGTTTGTGATGGCGTTAAGACGAGACGCACGGGGCTCTTTGCTGTCGATGTAACCATCGTGCATTTGACCTCAAAGCACACATCAGAATACATCTTACAGTTCCTTGATCTCATGTAGCCCAGTCCAACCATCTCCCAGCTTCAGCCAAAACTCACGGACAGTTCGCATTCTAATTACTGGCGCATTGAGGTGCAATGCCTGCGCCTCACGTGCTGGGCCCAAATCTGCAGGATTTCGAGGCGACGACGTTGCCGGAGCTGGCTGAAGCTCTTTGCTTTTGCTAGCTGGGGTACATCAAGTGAACTTATGGCACTTTTAACATAAGTTACATATAGCCAGAAATAAGTAGAAATTAGCTAGAATAAGCAGAAATTTGCTCGGAATAGGTAGAAATTAGCTAGAAATAGCTGGACGTAGGTCGAAAATAGATTTGTTGTAATTATGTATATTGGCGGGGACAAAACAATGGCCCGGGTCCTGCAGAATAAGCCCTTTATGTAGTGATATGTGGTGCTGGCTGACGGATGAAAACTACATAGTCACTAGTCCGGGGCGCTGCCCCGCCGGCGGGTTTCTGTGTTTTGATGAGCGTGCCTGCTGCTTATATTATAGGCTTTGATCAGTGATGACAAACTAGCACGTTTCATTTTGGATGTCCGACTCAGCATGGCATAGCATGATCAGACCAACGCATCTCTCGGTGATCCTTGGCTCACGCATGTTTACCGCGGTTTCGTCGACTTCGCTCGGCTGAGCAACTGGAGCAATATGGAGCGAGAGATGCAATTTCCCAGGCCAATCAACCGGTTGCAGGAGATTAGCTGCAGTCCTGTTGGGACAAATGCGAAAGGTAGGATGTCATGGTGCAGTGATGTGAATTTGAGACGGCTGCGGGTGCAGAGTTTGAGCATGTCGCTCGCTGATCGCAGAAGTCAGCAGTGGGGGGTTTTCCATCGTTGTCTCGGAGGTTCTCGGAGCTGTTGCGTGCTGTTGCCAGACGCTTTGTGATGCTTCCAAAATATTTTTCGGCTCGGTTCGGAGAGATCGCTGCTGCCGTCCACGGCGCCTGGCTGAAGGCCGGCATGTCCACTTCAGGGCACTTGTTGCTTTGCGCTTTTCCTGCGCTGGCGCTGCAAGCAAAGCAGTGACCACATGTTTGGTAGCCAAAGGTTAGCAAAGTCTGCGCAGACCAATCTGAACAAAATGGCATCATTTCTTAGTAGGTTGTCCACGGAAATTATGAAGCGGCCCGCAGAACCCCGCCAAACAGCAGCTAGGCGCTATAGCAAAGCGCTTGTGGCATGCTCGGTATTCTATTGACCCTGCATTCCGGGTGCTTGGCGGAATCAGCCAGCCAGCCAGCTAAAAGTATCCGGTGGAATCAGCCAGCCAGCCACCTGTATCCGGCAGAACCAGCCAGCCAGCCACCTAAAAAGTATCCGGCGGAACCAGCCAGCCTAAAAAGTCCCAACAAGTATCCGGCGGAACCAGCCAGCCAGCATCAGCCAGCCTAAAAAATCCGAAAAAGTATCCAGCGGAATCAGCCAGCCAGCCAGCCAGCTATCAAAGTACCTGGCGGAATGTGTCGAGCCAGCCAGCCGAAAAAGTATCCGGCGGAACCAGCCATCCAGCCACCTAAAAAGGACCCGGCGGAACCAGCCAGCCAGCCTAAAAAATCCTAAAAAATATCTGGCGGAGGCGCAAATGTATCCGGCGGCTGGCAGAATCAGCCACCGATAAAGGATTCGGCGGCTGCCGGAAAAAAACTCAGATAGCCACAGCTATTTAATTCAAGGAAGAGGTGCCTGTGTGGGCTTTGCTGCCTGCCTCTGCGCTGGCGCCGTGCCGCTGCAGGATGCCGCGGCCAGATGCTGCGAGTAGGTGTGCAGCAGGCAGAATCAGGCAGGAGAAACGGGCGGTCTGCTTACGCTCGGCAGGCGCAAGCGGACCAGGGTCGTGGAGCAGCGGATTATGCTGCTTTTGGATGCTTTTGGCAGGATTTCCGAACCCCAATCTGCTGCCGCGACGGGCGGTCTGCTTACGCTCAGCAGGCGTAAGCGGACCGCCACTTTTGATTCTTCTATAGCTGACCCACTGAGTAGTTGCTCTGCCCGGACAAAGGTGGGTCAGCTATAGCAGAGTCAAAAGTGGCGGTCCGCTTACGCCCGACGCCCGGACAAAGGTGGGTCAGCTATAGCAGAGTCAAAAGTACGCCTGCCGAGCGTAAGCAGACCGCCCGTCGCGGCAGCAGATTGGGGTTCGGAAATCTTGCCACAAGCATCCAAAAGCAGCACAATCCGCTGCTCCACGACCCTGGTCCGCTTGCGCCTGCCGAGCGTAAGCAGACCGCCGTTTCTCCTGCCTGATCCTGCCTGCTGCGCACCTACTCACCATTCTTTGCTTTGGACCGCAACGCGGCCTCTCTGCAAAGACGTGTGGACCAACCTCACCACACCACGTGCTTTAGCCACCTGTCCTCGCAGGTTATACGCTTCAGTTTCAGGCGCAGTGTTTCGTGTGAAATAGGTGCCAACGCGCGGGATAGTCTGCCAACGTGTGAAATAGGTGACAGGCGCAGTGTTTCGTGCACTTCCGCGAGGCTCCAATCGCGCTGTGTGACAGGCGTGGGAAAAATATGCATCTAAACTCGCAGGGCCCTGCTGTTTTGTGTGTGTGTGAACGCGCATCATTACAGGTTCGCAGAGCCTATATCCAATATCATCAAATGGTTCCCCTTCCCACCTTTGAGGCTGATGTCTGACATGGAGGAGGAGCAGGCTGGAGGAGCTCCTGGCCTGGAGGAGGTGGAGGATGTCAAGTTCTTGAGTGACTTCGGCGAATGGCTCACGACCTGC